CAGGTTGAATTCAGCCTGTACCATGGCTGGATCCAAGTGGGATTAGGCAGCGGCAGGAGGGGTGGGGGGCACCTTCTGCAGTCAGATCTTGTGAAGGATAGAAGCAGCAATCTGCCTTAGATCAAAGCTGGGTCATTCCAGCCCAAAAAAGTTGCTGACTGATGGATTAGACCAATACTTGTATGGGATGGTTTAGATAGGGATTGTGCATGGGTTGGGTGAAATGACCACCTGAGGTCCCTTCCAGCCCTATTTTTGTATGTTGCTATTGAGGCTGTTGAGGTTATAGTCTTCTAAACATGTTCCTGTGTGCAAACAACATTCTTTGTTCCATTATGTGGAAATGTCAGGTGCAGTAGTGAACTTTTCTATTTCCATTTTTAGAAAATGAATGCAAAAGGCCATACTGAGTGAAAAGGTTAAAACTCTTATATCACAAGTAAATTCTATGCAAATTCAGTGTGTATAATTTTCTGACAAAAATGCATATATCAACTTTAAAATCTATTATGCCAATTACATTTTAAAATAATTTCAGTGTTGTGTATAATTCAATTAAATGCACTTATTTAATCATTTAATTGAATCTCAGAGTGCAAGTTTATGTTTGAGGGAGTGGGTTAAAAGTCGTTTGCAGGAGACAAGTACAAGCCACACATCCCTTACCTAGGTATATTGTACAATACCAAACACGAGTAGCCAGAATCTGAACTTGTACTGTAAGTCTGGTGTAATCATTTTTTGAAGCTTTCCCCCTTTCCCCCCATATTAAGGCTCCAACTCAGCTAAAAAGCAACTAAGCATGGTTTTAACTTTCATTCTTATTGATTGCAGTACTCAAATCACAGCCTAAACTATTGAATAAAAAGGAAGGTACTTTCCTCCAGCCCAGTTCCCACTTAAGACCCCATTAGATATTTTACAACATTTGGTATCTAATAAGATAATGTGCCTTAAAACATACTAAGTGTGCCCCCATGGTTGGGTGCGGTGTATAAACAGTATGTTTTTTAAACAGTCAGAATATTATCTTGGACAGAAAGGATCTTCCATCCAAGATAATATATTGACAGTCACCAACTAGACACTCCAAGTACATTATATTACATGTCTTTGGGTTACAGTCACCATGAAGTTAGATACTTGAAAATTTTATTTCTATTTCATGTGAGCATCTTAAAACATACATTAATTAAATCTCAAACACTTGTCAGGTATGCTACGTGGAAATGTCAGATGCAGAAGTGAACTGATCTTCCTATTTCCATTTTTAAAAAGTGAATGCAGAAGGCTGTGCCAATTTGATATATTAAATCAGTAGCAGCAGTCATCCCAAAACAGCAATGATGGATGATTATTGAACAAGTATGTTACCTCATACCCAAAATGAGCTCACAAGAGTGGAGTAGCATCCCCTACCCCATAATTTTTGCTCCAAAAGCAAACACTGATTTTTCTTCTATGGTGGAGTCAGTTGCTGTGTGATTGTCAGGGTCCCTAATCAGACAGCCCAGCTTGGATGAATTGGCTATGCAGCCACACTTGCTTTGAATTGGTGGCATACAAGTCCAAACAAATGAACTAGCTAGCTTCCCGATTGGCTGCTGGGAGCCTGGTCTATCCATTCAGCCCCAGCTATGGCAGCAAATTCCCAGGCCAGGCAGCAGTTCTGACCTTAGTCTGCTTTGGCAAGCCTTCTAGTTCCTCACCCTGGCTAGGCTTGGTTCTGTTCTTACTCCAACCTGTAGTTTATCCTTTGCACTCAGGAACTAGGCATCTGATTCCTGGCCCCCAACCCTGGCCTGTGTTTTGAACTCCACCCTTGACTTGGAAATCCAGGACATCATCTGGGAAATCTGGGACACTTCCCAGCTACACCCTCCCCCACCCCAGCACTCTCACAAGTCGGCAGGGGCCAGGCTATGTGCTGGACAGGCAACAGTGCCTGCCTGCCCACCTGCAAGTCTCTTCACCTTGCTCTGACTCCTGCCCAGGCTGTACCTCACACCCCTGCCTTTCTGGGATGCCCATTTTAATTCTCAACCGCCAGCTGGGACCAGCTCCTGAAATCCAGGATTATTCAGGCTAAACAGGGACATATGGTCACCGTACCTGTGACTTTTTTGAATAATAAAATCTCTTATTCCAATTTTGAAATGGGTTAACTTCAGCAATATTTAGTTCCATCAGGATTAAAGGATAGCTATCAAGAAAATGAAAAATTATGGTTTAAAACTAGGACTGCACACAGTTGTTTGTATCAGCAAGTATGTGTATTGTAACAGTCTACCATGATTACATCCATTCAATAGTGGTTTAATTAAAAAACATTGCCTTTGTGCATTTGACATATAATTGTAAGACATAGGCTTACATATGAAAGTTTTTCGATGTACTTCTCTATCTTAATTTAAAAAGTGCTTAAGATCTACTACTTAGAACTGAAATCACCATTTTTTTAAAAAAAGATGGGTTCTAAGATACCTATTTCGTCAGTATTTCTGGTGAATTTGCTACAATCTAAAAAGATAGAACTTTTGCATTTCAAATAATGCTTTTGTATATATAAATAATACAAGCTTCAGAGAATAGCCTTTTGTTCCTCCCTCTTCTGAAGGAGGAAAGTCCCAGAATAAATATATATATTAGCAAGTATCATCTTGAACAAAATTCTTGTCTTCCCTAAAAGAAACTTGTGTACCTGTCTCCCCCTGCTGGAGTAAGATAAGGAACTACATTAAACAACTTTAAAAAACAAATCTAAGAGAAAAGGACATTCTTATTAGGATTTTGTTTTGCTGTTTTAATGAACTGTACTCCAAAAGGCTTTTTTTTAATTTAACGATGGACTCTCAATTGCTATACATCAGGATCAACCGTTCAGTTAGATAAATGATTGGGAAATATATATATTTTTAAAGCATTCACTCATAAAAGTGTTGGCATTATTCAGATCTTTGTTTCCATGTGGAACAATTTTATAGACACTACAAATATAGGCCAGCTTGACTGTTCAATATGCCTGCATACATAGCAGTGGATATAAATTGGGATTCACAAGCATGTTAATGTCATAATAGTACTTGAATTGACTAATTTGGATCTAAAGGAAACTCATTTTGATTGCTTTAGACCACTGCATGCAGCAGAAGCCCCAGCAAATGTTCCCTTGTTCAAAATGTGAACAGAAACCTTTCCACAGGATTCATGACCTACACTGGAGGTTCTTAAAGGAGATGCAAGTGGAACTGTTCTGAAAAGGTGTATAAGGACATCCACAATTCGTGCATGTGAAAAAGTCCTGACACACTGGACTGGAATGCAAGTTGATGCTTGGCCCAGAAAAATCCATGTTAACTTGGCTTCAGAAGCTGTACATGACTACACAATTAACCTAAGGATTACCAATCACATCCTGGCTCAGGATGGGCATGGCAGGAGGGAGATTTCACTTCTCCGGGCTACTTCAGCTTCAGCTATATAAAATCTATTGACTCACTGTTTAAGTTGAAAATAAATGTCATGTCTAGTTCCTTTACTGGAACCATATGCTGGAACAAAACTTCCCACCCTTCTCACTGCTGTACAACTTCATAAAAAGTGTGGCTATTGCTATCATAGGGCATGTCCAGATGAGCACTGACACATGGTATGCGGTGCTACAGACTCATCTGCTGCGCTGCACACCGCACATGCAGGCATTTTCTGCTCTGCTACTTTGCAGCATGGGGGGGAGGGAGGAGTTGACCCTGGGAGATCCTGGGGTCAAAAAATCCCACACCTAAATGAAGTAGGGTGGTGCACGTGGCTGCTGTATGCACTGCCCAAAGCTGGAACCTGGCAGGCCAGAATCACTCTGGCTGCCAGCTTGGCTTCCTGTTGCAGCATTGCAGGGGCTGCAGCTCCTGGAGGCCCCCAGGTAGGCTGCTGGGACCAGCGCAGTTGCTGGCCCCAGCCTCCCCCCTACCCCATCTGGGGCAACGTGCCATGTGGCACGGGCATTCCCTGGCAACAAGTAGCAGTGGCACACCTTATACTGTTGTTCTTCCCTGGGGAACCACAGAGTCCTGTTTGTGGGGATCCACCCACAGTGTTTTTCAATTAAACATGGTGTTTTTCATTAATGTCTTTTTTTTTTTAAATGACTGATATAGCTATCTTTAACTGGCTTACCTCCCAGCAAGGAAGACAGGAACCAATTAAAAAAAACAAAACCCCAAAAAAAAACAACACAATGGGAGTTTTTACACTGAAAGCAAAGAATCTTGATTGAGCCCAACATATGACAGTGCAACTAGTATAATAAATAGCATTGTTAATACTTGTTGCTTGGTGATTCACATGTTTATATGGTAATGTCTTCCCAACGTAATTTTTTTCTGCAGCTGCCTTAAGTTATTGATTATAGATTGATTTTAAATATGGCACCGCAAGATTAGAGGTGAACTTGTGAACAATAAGTAACCCAGCTTTCAGAAATACCACATATCCTAAAGCTGCCAAAGTCACGATATTTAAGTACCTAAAACATGAACATAAAGGTGCATGTTATCTATTATGTTTGGTTCTCCAAACTACCTGCTGTGTTTTGAGTACTACAAAAACTGATCAGTAGTGTTGACAGATGTAATTAGAATAACCAAAACAAACTAATCTTTATTTTGCTCATTTTACACAGTATGTCTGATTGTTCTTCCTCAAGTATTTCTTTCAGCAGTGAGCTGCCTTGTGTAGTCAAATTACTGGAAACCTCTGGAAAAGAATTAATGCATCACCTATTTGTATCATGTTTTGGGCTACAAAATCATGAGCCGTAAAGCAAAAAAGGAACAATCACAACCAGAGTCAAGTAGTGTTAAAACATCTAGGTAATTTAAAATGGAACCCAATCTTCATACTTGTTTGGTCAGCACATCACATGCTGTTGATGCCATACATAAAAAAAATAAAATTCTGCATAAACTGTTGTATCACAGAAGTGTTTTAAAAGATACCATATCCACATTTAGGACATTTTCAAATTTTATTTGCAACTATTGCAATTACAAAGAATATATCAATGTAAATTTGCATTTAAAGTGACATCCCTTTTTACTAAACAAGGTCACAAATTAGTGAGCAGCTTATTTTGGCCTTGGGTAGCTTCCAAAAATTGGAAATGTAAACTGTATGACAAATACAGCTTGTCACGCAGAGACAAAACCACAATATATTTTATGGTATTGTAGTCTTATAGTTCCTCAGTACAAAGTAATAGAAATACATCTCTCCCTACACAACTGACATCTGTATGCATTTCTACAGCTATTACTTCTACCTGTTATACTGGGAGTGGGGGGAATAAAAAAGGGGAATCTATCCATGAGCACTTATCTTAGGCTATACAGAAACACCAACTATCCTAGCAGCCATGAATTTTCCCTTTACATAAATATTTACTTGGAAAAAAAATTGTATTCTCATGTTAAAGGCTCTGTAGGAAGAAGTGGCTAAAAAAGAGAGAGATGTACACTGTTCCAAAAGCAAATGACTATCAAATTTTATCCACATTATTGATGGGAATTCAAAACTGATTCCAAACATGCCTCTCTAACATGTCTTATTTTATTCTGACAGTGTCAGATAGATTAAGAGCTAAGAATATTTTTTAGATTTCAGAGTTTACCTTTTACAAAAGGTGCTCCATATAAGCCACCAACTTTGTGTTACATATGGTCCCACAATTATTTTCAGACATATATTTTATCAAAAGACTCAGATCCTGCACTGATCTGCTGAAGTAGAAGCTTAAAAATGTTTTAAGCCATTAAGAATTATCTTAATAACTAATCAAGAAAGTTTATAATTTGCAATATAATTCTGGGCAATGAAAAAAAGGCAGTAATTCCAAAAGGCAGCCCTCAAGACTCTATGGAATGTGGCTACGGTTATGATGCCAATTTACAAAAACCATGATAAGTTAAACAAAACAAAATGTTTTAAAGCTATGAATGATCTGAGCGGTATCACTGCAAAATATCAAATGAATATCACAGAATTTACTGAGATCAGAACTTGAGCAGATGTTATTTCAAATCGACAGAGACTTGAGATGTCAAACATACCTACATGTTTTCTAAAATAAATTCCTAATGCAGAAAAAGTGATTTAAAGATTGCTTCTAGCTAATAGTACCGTTTATTTTATTGGACCCTAAATTGATCAGACAATACATAGCCCACACTTTTGGACATTTATAATAAAAAAGCTTTTATTTTCAATTGAAACAAATGTACCATCCTGCACTTAAAGGCTGTAACAGGCCATAAGCATCTTCCAAGGTGTACCAACAGCAACAGATTTGTTTGACCTTCACTGAGAAGTCACATAATGCACTCATAATTGGTAAAGAGAAACTAAACTCAGCCTTCTCAATGCTTCTGCACTGTGTTTCTTGTTTATTGTACAGTTCCACAGTCAGACCAAATGTTTGCAGTGTATGCAAATATTGTAGTCAATTAGTAGTACTGTTTAATCATCCTCCTCTTCCTCCTCCTCCTCCTCCTCCTCAAAACTGTCTTCAAAGCCCTCGCTGTCCTCCTGGTCCTCATCACCTTCTACTACTGTATCCCATTGTGGATGATTTTCTGGCACTGGTTTAGCTTCATGAACTTCCAGCTGTAAAGGGTGTTTGGGGAGACAGAAGAAAGAAAGTGGTATAAGCCAGAAAAAGGAAATGCACACCAATTAGAAACAATAGGGAAAACATTCACATTTCGTAACCCCATTAAGAAATTATGAATAAGGAATGTAGTGTGTTGTGTGTGTTGCTTAGTCTTGCAAAAATAATTCCTTACTATTTGATTGAAGGGGGAGGGCAGAGAGGGAAGAAACCAAACAAACAACCTCAGAAAATGAGAAAGCTACAACTGTAACATTTATCTACATGTGCCAGCTCAGCTGAGCCTAAGTAAATAACAACTGGTGTTCATGTACAACAGCTGGAATAACTGCTGTTATTTCCTGTAAAAAAATCTGATTGGAATCTATCATCTTTAAGATTAAAGTTCCTTTACTAATGTTCCTATTATACCAGGTGAGCAATTTCCATTCAGATTTGAAATGTTAATCTTAACAAAATGTTGATCTAATTTGAAAAATAAAACGTTTTCATGTTTGCCACAAGGCTGAATATAGCTATACAGAAGCAACACCTGTACTGAATGATTTTAAACAGAAAGCCTAAAAGGGTTAAATGTCACCTTCAAAGGTTTAATCTGGTCCAAACCCATATATGAATCCGATCTTAAATAAACCGTGTATTGGTAGTTTCCTGGCTTGCCTGGTGCAGGGAACTTCAGTTCTACCTAGAAAACACAAATCATTTACATTTTCTTTTGTTGTGAATGGATCCTAAAAGACTCGACATGAATATTTGGCTTTTGTACTTGGGCATGAAAAATACTATAATCAAAGTAATATTTTGACAGATTCTCCTTATATTTAATTAAAGGTGTTTAAGACTGCTACTTTGTCTATGGGCTGAAGCACAGTAAAAACAGCAGCATGATATATGCTATATCTAGCAACTGAAAATCACAGGTGGGACACTTACAGTAATTTGAACAAAGAATGAATTTTATCACAAGGTCATCTTTTCATTGTAGGTAGCACCCAATTGTCTTTAACAAGTTCTAGGAAAAACTAGTATCAAGGGAGATACTAATGGAAATTTAGAGATGAAAGGAATTGTATATTTCTATTTTTAAATATTAAAAATAGTTGTGTCACATGACATCCAGATACACCTATGGCACTTAGAGTTATAACTTCATAAGCACTAGAAAAAAAGTATAGAGCAAAGAAACACTCATTTCCATTCCTTAACTTTGGCAGTTTGGGCAAAGAAAAATAAGTCAACTTTAGTAGGTAGATTTATCTCCAATAAGAAAAACAGATCTAGCTGAAAGAACAACAGTAAGAAACTGAAATAAAGCAGTGAAAATAACAAAATGCTCTTGTTTCAGAAATCGTGACTTGAAATTTGAGAACTATCAATTTGTTTTAAAAAGAAAGGTCAGTATAGCTTTTAAATTACATTAGTTTAAAATCATATCATGTACATGACTACTAGTCAAATGAAAATCAATCACGGCACCTTCTGATAAGCCTCACCTTCTCATTCCAGAAGTGACGTTGAAAAATCCGGAATGAGACTGCCTGTTCTTTATCAGGAAGTTTCAAAGTAGTGAAAAAGTCAGACTTGCCTACTTTTATGTCAGAGACGGGGCACAATTTGTCTTCGTCTTTACTTGCATCATTTAAAATTTAGATTAAAAAGCAATAACATTCAGATCAGATTATGCATTTCTACTGCTATCTCATTTAAATAACTCTAGTGCAGTTTAAGAAAGTGCCTGCAATGTTTACGAAACAGAATTCCACAAATACAATACCTCTTCTCTATCTTTTAGTGTACAAACGTGATATGGCATAGATACTAATGTCTGTTCCTTCCTGTCTGCAATATACAGCCACCACCATTCTTGTTTTTCCTGTTTTAGAAAAAAAAGAATATGAAAATCTAGATAGTACAAATACAACATTTATAAGGATTGGTGTATCGCTCTGGTTTATTATAATGCACAATGTAATTTTTTCTTACCTTATCTTTGCAAGTGTTAAAACATGCTCCACACTGAAGGCTACTTACTAAAAACTGCTGGTCCTCAAAAGTTTCCTCTGTGGACTTGTGCTTAAGGGGTAGGACATTTCTGATGCTGAACTGTGGAACTCTTTAAAAAACACTTCTTTGACATATATGAATAAACTAAAGAGAAGGAAACTTCAGCAACATACACCACGTAAAGAGAGTACATAGAACGGCAAAATCATTCTCTTTCCTTTAGATTCTCAACAGAAGAGCCATGGCCCCTTGGGAGGTCGTGAGCAGGTTTCATGAGGTCTGCCCAGCTCGGCCCAGCACTGGGAAGAGCCACCTTGGCCCCCTGGGGCTGAGGTGAGGCCTGAGTTAGGGGTGAGGGCAGGGCCGCCACATGCAGCCCCATAGCCTCCATCTTATCAGGTGGGTAGGTGAGGCTTCACACTCCTGCTGCCCAGGTGAGCAGGGTGCCAGAGCTCCCTGCTGCTGAGGCTTGCCCACTGCACCCAGGGTTGGGGAGCCAGGCAGCTGCTGTTGCACAGGGGGGTTGTGGAGTTTTTATAGCATGCTAGGGGGGACCTCAGAAAGAAAAAAGGTTGAGAGCCGCTGCTCTAGACCTGAGTCCTAATACGGAATGTGATTCCAACATAGAGCACATGAATGCCCACAGGCAACTCTCAAAAGAACAAGTATTAGTAAGTAACCTCTCTTTCTTTCAATTTTGAGGGCCTCAATGTATTCCCATTATTGGAAAAGCAATACATAATTAAGTAATCTAAAGTTGTTGCCAAGATTTTTGGCTTTAGTCATGGCAGGACAGGATGGGGTAATCCTTATGACTGAGTTGACCCGCATTTGTGGAAAAGGAGGATGACTATCTCTTTCTGTCTTTTTATTCTCCTGAGTAACAGAATACTTCTTCTCATTTCTTGTACCCTGAGAGGATTCAAGAATGACTCTGGAAGTGACTGCCTCAACTCCAGTGCTAAGCAACCCACATAATACAAACTTCTTCTCCTTTGGAGATAGCACGGTTCTGCAATGCTGGAGAAGCTTTTAGTAAAACCACAAAGTGATTTAGAAGCTGTGCATGTGGTGCTGAATAGTTTATCCAATCACAGAAGATGATTTTTGAGATAAAAACCCAGTGCAGAAGCAGGGACGATGAGGTGTGCTTTTGGTACTTATAAATAGGGGCTTACAATTTTGCAGATTTTGTGGATTCCACTAAATCTGGGCAACACTCACTAAATCCATGGAGGGTGCAGGGAGAGGAAGAGGGGGAAGAAAAAACTTTATGGAAAATAAAATGCTGGCTCCCAAGAGGCTGCTTGCAAAATGGCTTTTGACCATGCCCCTGACCACTGATTGGCTGCAAGGGCTGTCTGTCACGTAGCCCTGCCCTCTCCACATACTGGTGGGGAGGGTTGGGGCTGCCCTTATAGCCAATCATGGCCAGCCCTCGTAGCCAATCAGCAGCAAGGGGCAGGGCCACATGACAGGCAGCTCTCTGCCAATTAGCAGCAAGGGGTGAGGCTGCCAGGGCCCCATAGCCAATCAGAGGTGTGGGGTAGTATATGCGTGTGGGGGGAGAGCACCACACTCCACCTGTCAAATGACTGCTGGCCCTTCCATTCTGTCTGTGAAGCTAGCAGCCAGCAAACACAAATTAGGCAGGTCCCTACTTATAAGAAGGCATCTTTACAGAAGTTGGTCCTGATGGAACAGCAGATGCAAGAGGTTTTGCAGACCTCTGAGAAACCCAAGAACACCATGCGCTTCAAAAATCTTTGCTTCTGACACAAGAGCATAAAGGCATTGCAAACAACACAATGGGATAACACGTCATTCCTAAACACACAAGACATCTCTCTCAGAATTTAAAGCTAAGCTGGATGTACAATTCTTAAATGTCCTATATGGTTTAAGATAGTATAGATTCATGTCAAGTCTGCTTCTATCCCCTATCATCCACCATACCTTATCTAGGCATAATGCCCTTCCCCTGCCTACACTAAATGCACCTGTAGAATTGCTCAAGTCTGCAAGAGGACAACCCAATTTTAAAAGACGTAAAAGTTCTCTCAGGTCAGGGTTTTCCTCTTGCAGATCTTAAAACTTTTGGCGCTTATTCAAAAGAATCAAGAAAGATGATAAAAGTAAAACACTAAAGTTCAGATTAGTTTTTCAGTGGAATCCAGTTAATATTTAAGCAGTATCACACTAACTACTTTTACAAAAATTCCACTTTTAAAAAAATTCTAAGATCAAAAGTTAGAACATACTGGACTCCAGCTAATGCCCCACCACCAAATAATTTTCCATACCAACTAAAATTTGAACCCCCCCCATAAATTTTAAAGCAAGAAGTTACTAGATAAAAGAAAGCTTCCCTTGAACAGGAAATAAGATCCTCCTCTCCTAGCAATTTTGTTCAGACCTTTAAACATACTCTTTTGTAAATGACAGCTACGTATCATATAGCATTTTACATCCATAGATCCCACTACTTTACAAAAAGAAAAAAAAATACCTGGCAGATTTCAGCATCTACTCCCCACCAATGGGGGTATTAAAATCAATGGGTAATGCTCTGTATGTGTGTAATTTGGAATGCTGTTGCAGGAAACACCAAAACAAAGCCCTATCCTTTGGCTCTGGCCACCAAAGAGTGCTTCTAAAGTTACAGAAACACTGTAATATTAAGATAACACTAATATATCAACCATAAGGCAATTATATGACTGAAGCTTTGTCTTCACTGGATACTTAACTCTGTTAATGAATGTTCTCCTTAACGTGCTCCATGTTCACACATCATCACCCAACAGCTGTGCAACAAAGGAAGACAGCCAGCATGCTTTCAGAAATTAGGAGGTCAGATTAGATCAGATCCTGAATTAGCTTCTTTCATGTTTTGCTAACCCAAGCCAACTGCAACAAAAATACAGGACCACAGCCACCTACAACAATTGTTAAAATAGGGCACAGACAGAAGTGACAACTTTCGACCTATCTGGCCCCTGAACGTGGTCAACAGCCATGACCAAACGGAAGTGCACAGCTACAAAGCACTTTAAATGGGCCTGATCCCACAAAAATCTGAATCCTCACTGCATGAGGGTCCAGCTGAAAACATTTCAAAACATAGTGTCTTCAATAACTTATGTCTGCACTGCCTCCCAGCCTGTCACTGTTTTCAGAATGGGAAGGGGGAAAGGGAGCAGAGGTAATTTGATCTGGTGTTTTTTCAGCTTGCACTAGAGGATGGGGCAGATAGACTAGAGCACCCCCAAGGTGAGGGTCTTCCTATCCACCCACCTCACCCTTCAAGTTCCTCACCCTGGCTGGGGAACCCCTAGATGAGCTCCCTCTGCTCTTTCCCCTCTCCCATTCTGAAAACAGAACAGGCTGGAAGGGAGGATGGGCCATTGTTAGGGGAAACAGCCTGCAGGCTGGCAGCCAGCAGCTACATTCCCCTCCTTCCTGGCACCAACAGTTTGGTTCCGGAGATTGTTGCAACTCAGAATGCTTTCTGTAAAGCATTCTCTGGTACAGTAGGGAGCTGCACTTCTGTCTGAGCCCATAACGGCCAGACAACCACTTCTCACAACCTTCAAGGTCACCCCCTTGTGATATCTTACCATCTACCTATGCTCAAATCCCTGCCTTGAAACTGTCAACCTTCACATAACTCTTCTCAGGGAGCTCAGTCACACACTGTGGGCAGTTTCTCCAGTGTCTGGTACAGGTACCTTACTGGAGGCTATCACCAAAATCTTGGGCAGCTTTGTGCTGAAATAAGCAAAACCTAGGACTCTGGACTCTTGGGAAGGAATTTCCAACCATACAAGAATCTATTCATAGTTTCATAGTTTGTTTCATAGTTTGTAGGGTCGGAAGGGACCTGAGCAGA